CCCCAAAACCCCAAAACCCCAAAACCCCAGAAAGAGATGTCAAACTTGACTAATTAATAAAATAATATTTTCAAATGAGACTTAATGCAGTTATACAAGAGACAGAGGAAGCTCATGGGGTTCAAAATATCCTGAAACGTTTATTAGCTCTTAATAAGTCTGCAATGATGAAGCTTAAATACCAAAAATACAGAAGTTGATTAGAGATATTAGAAGAGGCTAAGGGTGTAGTTGTTACACTTGCGAGGAATAAAACTATCTCTAAGACTAAGAAATTTTGATCTGTGGCTTCTATTACATATAATAACCTTGGGTGATATTATCAGAAGAAGAATCAGAGTAAGTCTTTTAGTTTGTTAATCTAAATGCTAATGATTGGTATAGATACCCAATCTATCAGGTTTTACCAGAAGTCCTTGGGCTATAGCAAACATATCGAAGGAGACGAGATAAATCTGTCGAGTACTTATCTTAATATTTGTTCGTTATTTTCCCAAATGGGTGACCATGAAGAGGCTTATAAGCACGGAAGAGTTTCTCTACGTCTTCTTCCTATAGCATATCGAAAATGTAAGGAGCAGATGGAAGATAAGCAAAGGGAACCAGAAGAGAGGTACTATAATCTTAGAATTTTGTACTAAACATAATTTTGATAACCTTGTGTTTTATTTAGGTACAAAGATCCTGCATTTGATAACTTGCTCATGACTATGGTTATCGCATACTACAATGTAGCCACTGAATGTGAATTCTTAGGTAATTACCAAGAAGCTCTTAAACACTTCATCAGAGGCTACGAATGGGGTAGCAAAAGTTTTGGTAAAGATGATGAATTGGTTCGGAAAATTAAGAAATGTATATTTCAAATAAAGAAAAGAATTTACAAGTTAGCCCATCAGTTTATCAAATAGACCAAATGAGCAATGTCAGCCGTCCTCTGCAAGTACGAAGTTTACGCTGAAAAGTAAACCATCCATTGGTCAAATCTTGAGGAGCAATATGAAGAAGTATTTTCATGTTTTGACCATTTAGATCGAAAGTTTTGAAGAAGCTAAAGCCAAGAGCTTTTTCAGAGAAGAAAAATGAAGAAAATAGCTTGAAAAGGAACCAGCCTGGAAATGAAGTGTTGAGCATGTATAATTCCTCTGAAATTACAGATGGCTTTACTGCTAATAGTGCAAAGGTAAATTATATTTTGAAGTTTTTAGAACTCTTCGATCTCTCAAAAGCTACGCTACTCTCAAATCTACCAGAGGAATCACGAGGTAAACACTCTCTTCATACATAGAACAACGAAAACGAAATGTATTCTCCTGATGGAAGGAAGAGTTCTAAATCCAGAATAAGCAGGAAATAATTTAACCAAAAATACAAATCCCTTTCGGCCTCTTGGCCAAATAGAGGTTTCTTCTTTTGGTGGTGAGGCACAAGATAAAACTAGAGTATACTGGTTTATATCAGAATATAGAATAATAGCAGACACAACCAGGATGAATCATACCTTCCAGCAGTACCTATCCTATCAATGTACGACTCTAAAATCTTAAGCACGAGTATGAAAATGGAGACAAAATAAGGGAGAAATTCAGCAAAAATCTCCTGATAATCTTAGAAAAAGTATGAAACACAGATTATTTTCACCAAAACTAAAATAAGAGGTCTCCAAAGTAACTTTATGGTCTAATTTTAGTCAAAAGATTAAACCTTTCAAAAAGAGGTCAAAGAGATATGCTCCTATTCGCCCCAATATTGAAGTATTTGTACAAGCTCGTGGTGCCAACAAGAGTTTGGAAAGTATTCATGAAGAAAGCAAACATGATTCTGTGGTCGCTCTTTCATCAACTCAGGAGAAATACTTCAAGACTAGACAGAGATATAAGAGTAAAGTCACAATGAAAAGAAGAAATAAAGCTCAGAGCAAATCTTCCTTCTTTGATTATAACCTCAGCAAAGATATGAACCTTACTCAGGAAGGAATGAGGAGAAGAAATCGTTGAAATGAGATTGAAGGCATTAAATCCAGGGTAAATAATATATCAAAGTAAGTCCTTAAAGTTATATTCTGAGGTGCAAACGATCTCCTACAAGTAAGGAAATCCAAGACTTTGAATTATATTCTTGAGGCGTAAATACAACTGATCTAAGAAATCAAGGAAAAGATAAGATAGGTAGTACTACAAATAATTCATAGGGTCATCACTAGATTCCATTGACCTGGTCCAGCCAACCATTTCGTTGCCTTCTCATGTAAGAGTGAGACAAGTCGGTGCTAAAATTGAGAAGAATTTTCAATAAGAAATATTGAATAAGGGGTTTTGGGGTTTTGGGGTTTTGGGGTTTTGGGG